ATCATCATTCTCAAAACATTTGCTTTCCGCTTGAGCCCCTGGTATCAGCTCCTCATTTTTTCCCCCTTCCCTCCCTGCTCTCCCCTCCCTCATGAACCCTTGATAATCTATAAATTATTATTTTGTCATATCTTACACTGTCTGTCGTGTCCCCTCACCCACCCCTCTGCTGTCCATCACCCAGGGAGGAGTTTAGATGTAGATCTTTGTAATCGGATGGTTACCGCTTTCTACCCTAACCTCCCTCCACCCTCCCGTATCACCACTCTCACCACTGGTCCTGAAGGGATCGTCTGTCCTGGATTCCCTGTGTTTCCAGTTCCTGTCTGTGCCAATGTACATCCTCTGGTCCAGCCAGATTTGTAAGGTAGAAATGGGATCATGATAGTGTGGGGTGAGAGGGAGGAGGGAGCATTTAGGAACTAGAGAAAAGTTGTATGTTTCATCATTGCTACACTGCACCCTGATTGCTTGCCTCCTCTCTGCAACCCTTCTGTAAGTTGTCTACAGATGGGCTTTGGGTCCCCCTCCTCATTCACAATGATTTGACATTTTGTTCTTTGATGCCTGATACTTGATTCCTTTAGCACCTCGTGATCGCACAGGCTGGTGTGCTTCTTCCATATGGGCTTTGTTGCTTCTGAGTTAGATGGCCACTTGTTTACCTTCAAGTCTTTAAGACCCTAGACACTATATCTTTTGATAGCCGGGCACCATCAGCTTTGTTCACCACATTTGCTTATGCACCCATTTGTCTTCAGCGATTGTGTTGGGATGGTGAGCATCATGGAATGCCAGTTTATCAGAACAAAGTATTCTTACATTGAGGGAGTACTTGAGTGGAGGCTCAAAAAACAAAATATTATAATGAAATGTGCAAAGACCTAGAGTTAGAGAAGCAAAAAGGAACAACACTCTCAGCATATTTTAATCTGAAAGAACGGATGAAAAAATTCAAGCCTTGATTTATAATAATCCAAGATTCCACGGGCATAATATTGAACGATGCAGGCAGCATCAAAAGAAGTTGGAAGGAAAATACAGAGTCGCTACACCAAGAAGAACTAGTTGCCATTCAGCCATTTCAAGAGGAAGTATAGAAACAAGAACCAATTAAGGGTACTGAAGAGAGAAGTCCCACCAGTGCTGGCAGCATTAGCCAAAAGCAATACTGCGGGAATTAACGGCATACAATTGAAATGCTTTGACAAGCTGATAAATTACTGGAAGCACTCATTCACCTATGCCAAGATATTTGGCAGACAGCAAGCTGGCCAACTGACTGGAAGTGATCCATATTTGTACCTATTCCAAAGAAAAGTGACCCCCCAAATGTTGAAACTATAGAAAAATATCACACGGAAGTGACTTTTTGCTACAGATGATTCAACAACTGCAGCAGTGCATCAGCAGGGAGCTGGGAAGTCGAGCCCACTTCAGAAGCGGTCATAGGAAAAAGGACATAATTGCTGACATCAGTTGGGACTAGTTGAAAGCAGAGAATCCCAGAAACATGCTTTCTTGTATTGGATTGACTCTGCTAAGGCATTCCACGGCGCCTATCAGTACAAACTATAGCTAGCGTTGAGAAGAGCAGGAATTCAGAGTCCTTATGGTGCTCATGGACAAGTAAATTGTTCGAACAGAGCAAGGGAGTGCAGCATGGTTTCCAGTCAGCAAATGTGTGCATCAGGGTTGTCTCCTCTCACGATGGTAATTCCATCTGTGTGCTGAGCAAGTGCTCTGAGCAGCTGGGCGGCCTGAGGAAGCACACAGCATCGGGATTGGAGGAAAGTGTATTCCCAATGTGCAGACCACACAGCCTTACTTGCTCAAGATGAGGAGGACTTGAAGTGCTGCGAGGATTGCAGTACTTCTAATGGAGAGCACAACTCGTGTGACGGAAACCCAACTCTTCACAACTGGACCGATGGGTAACATCATCATAAATGGAGAGAAGATGGAAGTTGTCCAAGAAGTTCATCTTTCTTGGCTCCACCATCAAAGCTTATGTAGGCAGCAGTCCAGAAATCAATTGACTTCACAGCACTGGGTGCGTCTGCTTCACAAGCTCTCTTTAAAGTGCTGAAAAGCAACGATCACACTTTGAGGACTAAAGTGGACCTGACCCAAATCCTAGTATTTTCAATTTCCTTATAAACAGGCGAACGTTTGGCAATAAATAAAGAAGACGGAAGAAAGCTTGATGCATCTGAATGACAGCACTGGCAAAGAATTGAAAGCCCCAGGGACTGCCCAAAGGACAAGCAGATGTCTTGGAAGAAGTACAGTCGGAATGCTCTTAGAGGCAAGGGTGGACATGTGATCAGGAGAGACCAGTCAGCAGCTTAAAACCACCAGCCAAGACTCAAAAGACAAGGCTTTCTACGTTGGTAGAGAGCTACGGTCTCAGAAATTCCCTCGGGCAGGGCTACTTTATTGTACAGGGTCCCCAAGAGTCAGAATCGACTCGATGGTGAACTTGCTTTGGGTTTTCAAACCGCCAGCCTGTCAGCTCCATCCCTATACATTCGTACCACCTTTCTGGGAGCAAGGCTCCATGCCCTCTCCTTTCCAGAGCAGCCAGTCTTTCCGTTAGGAGCCAAATGGCTCACTGCTACGGCACCACAAATACATTTTCTGTACCTATACATTTGCTCATTGTAGACATATCGTATCAAAAGTATCATACAATTGAAGACCTTCTCTGACTTCTTTCAGTTTGTGTAATGTTTTCCAGATTCATCTGTACAAGGAGGTTTCAAAAACCTGGTGGAAAAAATAGAATTAAAAGATAATGGATTTTTTTCCCACGAAATCTTGAAGCTCCTCATATATCAGCACTCCAATGATCTGGTTTCCAAAACTCTCTGCAGTTTTGGTCCCTTTGGTGTTTGTTTGTTCGTAGTAGAGTATATCTCAGAGGTGCTCGGTCCGTGGAGGTCACCTTCAGAATATGAACCCGGGATCAATGAACCTAGAGGGACAGCAAGTAGACTAAGGGGCTCAGGGGGAGGAGGTGAGGGTGGTGGTAAAAGGGAGACGATGTCAAGGAGTCCATGTAGAAAAAGAATGCTTGGAAACTGATTGTGGTAGCAATCATACATTCTACTTGAGGTGATTGAAATTTGGAATGATATTATACCTGTATTAAATCACAACTAATTAAAAAAAAAACCCTGAATGGTAGAGTCCATAAGAGGCATCAGCTATATCTGAAACGTTCCTTTTATTTTTATTTTTAACTTTTTATTGTAAATTAGATGGACATTAATAGAGCAGATTAATTTTCCGGTCAATAATTCATGCACAGTTCCTTTCATATTATTGATCTACAGTCCCACAAGGTAGCATCCCTTATGCCATTTCCTCCCTGAGTTTCCAGTTTCCTTCCCACCTTCTTTCCAAACACTTCTGACCTTTGTCCTTGTGGAAACGATGCCCTTTTGATCTTAAATGGTTGGTTACTCTAAAGTGCGCATACCTTCCTAGGAGTATTGTTCCTCTCTTATTTGGCTGAAAAGTTGAGCCAGGGGAGCGAGTTCATTTTCCCACCAGAATGATGACTGTGTCGTCCTTAGTCTTGGAGGCTCCACCAGACGCTATCCGGCCGCTCAGCCTGCTGCCCTGTTTTTATGAAACATTTCATTTAATAAAAGTAGCCTCTGAAACAAATTTGTCATATGTTAATATGCTGGTATAGTGGGTACATAGCTGTTTGTTTCTCTGATTTCTGTTCATTTTGAAATGTTTCATAATACAAAATAGTTAAAGATGAACTATGGTGGGAGATGTGATTTTTAAAAATAAATCCAAGGAATGCCGTGTGCTTTATGTTGAGGGCTCTGCTCACCCTCTTTCGCAGTCCAGTGCCATGTCCAAGGAGCCTGGTGGCACCGTGGACTTGGTGCTGCTTTGCCAACCCCAGACTGGGAGCAAGAGGGGCTGTCTGCTCCTGAAGCCATCCACAGTCTCAGCGTCCGTGGACAAGGTCACCGTGAGTCAGAATCCACCAGTGAGTTGGTTAGGGCTTGCAGTTTGGTTATGGATTATAGGTTATGCTGTATCAAGTGTTTCTTAAGAAAAGGGCAAGAAGGAGGGCCAGTGATAAACAACAGCACATGCGCTTTGGAGAGCAACATGAATTCTGAATATATACATATATCGTATTTCCTCCTGGCCCTCTATGGCCTTATGCAAATCACTTAATGGCTTAACTCCATTTTGCTTTTCTGAAAAAATAGGATGGCAATACCCACTCCCATGGCGTCCTGCCATCTCCAGGCAGAGTATCTTCAGCTGTGGCGTCTGCCACGGAAACAAGACAAGCCGTGCTCCACGTTTGTAAGCTCGTACAGCGTAGCTCAAAGGCCGTGTAGGACAGACCGGGCATTAAAAGCTTTTCAGACTGCTCCCGCTAGTCCGATGATGCAATTGCCTGAACTGCTTCACAGCGGGGCTTTCTTTGCTCTTGGCCCCGGAATGCTTTGCCTACTATTTTTATTGATTTAGGTTTTGGTCTACTACTGCTTTATCTTTCTCAGCTTCTTCCGAGACATTCTGAACGATTTTTGTAATCCCGTTAAAATTCTAACAGCTGAAGCATGCAGCCACGTGGTGCTCCTGTGCTGTGCGCGGTGTGTAGTCGGACGGTGGGGAGTGGAATCAGGAGCGTGGAGTTTCAGCTTGGGTTTGGCCATGGTGTCAAGGGCGTGCTCTTAGCAAGCGACATCAGAGCTGCTAGTAAGCTCATGTTCGTAAACTACGGGGAGAGCAGGAGGGAGATGTCATCCTGGGCCAAAGGCGGATGATTCCTTGATCACAGATCGCGTGCTCGCCATCAGCACCACCACCTGCGTTAGAGGCGGACAGATGGTGAGGAACAGGGACTGACGAAGGAAAACTTTTGAATCTGCTTGTGGATCATTTGAATGTGATGAATGCTCCCAAATGCTTAATTTCTAAATATCCCTGCTTCTTTCCTCTCTTCCTTCTGCTAGGAAAGGCACCCATGCCGAGGCCTGGGTACAAGCCCCAGGAGCCCAACGGCTGCAGCTCCTACTTCCTGGGTCTCAAGGTACCAGAAAGTGTATGTACTACTAACATTATCTTCTTCACCGGTGGCTGATACTAATCCGACAATGGAAAGGAACTGTGGAAGCATGGGCGGTCACCCGGGGGGCTGCAAGACCAGAAGCCCCCAGCCAGTCCATGGGAGCTAGATGAGACCCTTGATGCCCGTCAAGATTTACAGCCTGGAAAACCCACAGCGTTCGGGCCCAACATCGCCATGAGTCTGAATTAACTCATGGTAATGAGTTTTTAACATTCTAAAAAGTGATCTGAGAATCATGACTGAAGACAGTGATCAGAAGTTGAGCTGTGTCATTGGTTATTTTTAATTGGCAGGGAGATGCTATGCAAAATAGATACCGTATTGCCTTTGCCCAGAGGCAGTTGCCCCGCAGACAAGCCCTTCTATCAGAGGAGTTTGTAGGAAGTGCAATGGGCTCGGCTGTTCGCCAAGTCGGCCGCTCTGCCTTGGAGGAAAGGCCTGGTGACCTCCTTTTGACAAGTCGGTCATTGAAGACCCATTGGAGCGCACATGGGCTCACCACGGGACAGTCGACTTGACCCAACTGGCTTTCGTGGGCCAGACCAAGAGTCTCCCTTTGCAGACAGCAGCTGGGCCCTATGCTCTGTTTGCTGTCTCTAAATTCATGACCTTTCCAGCAGGGTGCGGTACTGACTGAGACTGGCTAGTAAAAAGTGCTAGAGGAGTGTTGTCAGGAATTTTGGAAATCAGTTGTGCACCAGAAGTTTCAGATCAGCTATGTTTGGGGTATTTACAGCATAGAAAGCTGAGAACACTATAAATCAGCACAAACCCCCTCATCTCATTGTTTATGAAACATTTACGAACACCCCACCAACCTTTCTCAAACTGTAGTCCTCCCCTAGAAACACAGTACTCAATCAACGTATCTTAAGGCCTCCTGGAAACCATTTCCCCTCCGTTTTAGAAAAGTGATTTCATGCAAAATGTAGGTGAAAGAATTTGACATTGAAACTATGATTTTGAATTATGCTTTACTCTGGCTAAACCCCATTTCTGCTGTTTCAAGAGGTTTTGCTTTGTAATGATTTTCTTAGCAGCGTAACTTACATTCCTTCCTCCGACTAAACGGCTGTTCACCAAAATGGCTTATTTGTACAACCTGTAGAAAGGTCTCTTTCCTCAAGGAGCCTGGTGATCATGTGGAATAAGGACTGGGTTGCCAACCACAAGGCTGCCAGTTCAAACTCTCCAGCTGCTCCACAGGAGAAAGATACGGCTGTTTGCTCCCATAAAGGTTTAGAGTCTCATAAACTATAAGGAGCAGTTCTACCCCATCCTACAGGGCTACTCTGGGCAGGAATTGATTTGATGGCAGAGGTTTGGGGTTTTGATTGCTGTTACTCTGAGTGGACTAGAGAAACAAATTTACAGATATTCATGTGTATAAGAAAGAGCTTTATATAAAAGAGCAACTGTATATTGAGAAACATCCCAGGCAAGTCCAGATCAAGTCCAAAAGTCCAATATTAGCCCATATGTCTGGTACCAGTCTATAAATTCCTCTTCAGACTCACATAACACATGCAATGATGCCAAATGCAGGAAGATCATAGGCCAGTGGGTGGAAAGTCTGTGGATCCAGTGGCGGTAGAAACATCTCAGCTCTGGCGTGGGTCTCCACATGGCTCCTCCAGCTCCAGGGCTCTGGCTCCATCAGTGTAGCTCCTTGTGGCTTCTCAGCAGGAAGATGAAGTAGAGTCTGTGTGGATTTGGCCTCCAGTGAGCTATTTATATCCATACAGCCTCCAAATGCAGTCATCAAGCTGCCACCTGATTGACAGGCTGAACTCCACCCCGTCTCTCTTAATAGTTTCACGTTGACACCAGATTATGTTACTACTGCAATTTCCTGACGGCCGTGTTCTTCCATTTGTGAGAAAATCATCCTTCTATTCTGATTTTGTTAGAAAAAGAAACTTGACTAATGACGGGTTGGAGATTTTTCTTCAATCAAGGTGTAGTACGTCTCTGGCGTCTGTGTACGTAGATGTACTACACGCAAGTGCAGCCTTGTCCACCAGCCCCAACCTGACGTGGACACAGGAGAGACAGTCCGTGGGAAATATCTGTTGGAGAAACGACATGTTTCCCCTCATTTAGTTTACTTGATACCTATTTAGTAGTTATGGAACGGCTGTGCATTTAATTTTGGGTGAGAGGTTTTTCTGTTTACCAATCAAAAATCCCATTTGAACCCGTTTTGAGAATGTTTTTCATCAGTGGCATTGAGATTTGGTCCCTGTTCATCTCATTCTCAGTGGTGAGGTGTCTGTGGCTTGAGGAATAAAGTATGGGCAAAGGGGTTTCTTTCCAGGATCAGGTTATGAGAATTCGTTTGGGGTGCAGAGCTGAGGGGTTTGCCCTTTTCAGTGAGCTGGAAGGGCTCGTAATATCATACTGTTTGTTTGCTTAAAAAGGCATTTCAAACTGCTAAATACACCTTCCTTTAGACGACATTAGGATTAAAGTGAAGAAAAGGGAACAAGTGGAAATCTTTTAGTAGTTGATTAATCAATTCCCACCCACACCCAGAAACCAACCTCTCACAGCTTGCATCCAAATTCAGAAAATATGCCAAAGATTTTCAGATGCCTACCTACGTCTAAACTCCCCCTGTTTGGATTTCTGTATTACTCTTCTTTAATCACTGTTTTGATCATGTCTCTTTCTTTCATAAGGGTCTTTGTTTGGGTTTTTTTGTTTTAAATCAAAGCTTACTAGTTACTTTGGAAGTTAAGATAGTCCATCAACTTGCCTTTATATCTAATTACAAAAAGATTATGTACATAAACTCATAGGTGTTTCCCTGCTGAAACTCTTAGGAGATGAAACAAACTATGATCACATGCCATATAACATCAATTAGGGAACTGTCTGACCACATCTACATCCATGGTCCCAATCCCTGTAAAGCCTGTTGTACTGAAAATTCAGGGTAAAAACAAGGAGAAGTCAAAAAGTATTGTTTCGAAGTGAGGAAATGTCTGGCCTCCTTCAGCCACAAAGCAGAGAGGAAGAATCCAATTCCACATCTCCAAAGGATAAATCCTAGTAGCAGAGGTCAGACATGTCCACCTCCCACATTCTTGACCTTTGTCTGACACCAACCATCCTTCCATTCCACTCTATTTCTCTGCTGAGTTGGCTAAGCCATTGCAATGGCTACCAGAACTCACAGACAATCCTCACCATGGATAGAGTTTATTAGGGAAGCCAACAGCTTACAAGGCAGGATCAGAAATGTCATGGTTACAGTTCTTTTGCCTGCAGCACTTCCCAGTCATGCCAGCAGGCACCTCAGCCTGGTTCTTGTTCTCAGGCCCTTGGCCTCTTCCCTGCTCTGGCAAGTATTAGGAAGCTCTGGTAGAACTCATCAGCGCGCGGGAAGCCTTTCTAGTTCCTCCCATGCCAGCTGTCAAGCCTTTGACAAAAGTCAACACAATATCATGAGCTTTAACTGTTAGCATTCCAGGGGGACAGAGCAGAGTCCAGGGCCATGCCATGTCCTCTCCATCACTCAGACTCTGCCTGATCCATGACGGGTCCCAAGACAAAGGCACCCTACTTTGCCAGCCAGCCTCCTGTTCGAAGGCACCAGCTTTACAAAAGCACAAACATACAGACTTACGGTTTCTAGCATAGGCTCTATCTAGAGCATAGTTTCCCAAAGCTATTTGGCCTGCCATTCCCTTTTCAGAAAACAAACAAACAAATAACAAACAAGCAAACGAGAAGTCTGGGCTTCCTTGGCAAAAATTAAAAAACGTTTGTACTGTAGTCCATAGTCTAGGGTAAGTGTAAACATCGGCTTTTGCCACTCCCCTGGCTCATTCCAGCACCCTCGCTGCGCCCCCCACCCCGCCCCCAGGGGATGGATCACCCACTTTTGGAAACACTGATCTAGGTCTGTACACTTCAGAAGGTTGTGTTTCTGTCCCTAACTTTTCTCTCAGGAACCCTAGTGGCACTATATGTTAGATGTTGGGCCACTAACCACAAGGTCAGTGGTTCAAACTCACCAGCCATTCTGAGAGAACAATGAGGCTGTCTGCTCCCACAAAGATGTGCAGTCTCAGAAACTCCATACTCCAAATGCACTATGAATTGGAATCAACTTGATGGCAGTGGATAACCCTTCCCTGAAGGACTCTGTGCCCTGTGATTCCCACCTCACCAAAATGACAGTGCGCAGCCTCAAGAGACTCAAACGTGTTCCTTTTAAACAAAATGTGTGGGAACAAAAAGTCTGAAAGGGCAAGATCAGGATGTAGTGAAGTTCCCCAACAAAATTCCCTTAGGATGGCCCTTGCTCCCCTCACAGAATGAACAAGGGCCTGGTTGTGACGGAAATTATTTTCTAGGTGCAACATTCTTGATCTTTTCTTTATTAGTACACTTTTCAATTTTCTTAAAACTTTTAACTGAATCTCCATCACCGTCTTGTGTCCTGTGAAAACATCTACCAGGAGAGCCCCTTTGGAGTCCTAAGAAAGAGTTGCCGTCATCGCCCCTGCCTTGAGCTGAGCTGACCGAGCCGATCTTCGTGAGCACACCGTTTTGACTAGATGGTGCTCTCTGGATTGTATCGGCAACTCCAAGACTCATCTCCAGTCGCAGCCAATCAAGTCGCCTCCATTAGCTTTGCTCTTACTTGAAAGTCCGATGAAGGGATCACGCTTCGTGCAACACTCTGGCACCCATTGAGCCCAACGCTTGCTGAGGTCAACATAGCTACTTCAATCCAAAATGTCAAGCCATGTGACATCCACATCCCCCAACTCCAGGAGCGAGAGAATCACGGGAATGTCTTCTTCCACCAGTTTCTGGACGTCAACCAGGTTCGTCATTCAAGACTGACGTCCGTCATTTGGCTCATCTCTAAGGTCTTCCTCACCTTTCTGAAGATGCTTGACCTATGTGAAAAACTCTTGTTTTCTGTGGGGCACCATCAAGATTTGAAAAGATATCTACTTGCGTTTTGTTAAAAATGTTATATTACCCCTGACTTCAGAATGGGATTGTTTCCCCCCCTCATGGCACAAAAGTACCCTCCGCTCACCCGGATGTTAACTGGAACAGCAGCAAAATGGTTTGACTTACCCTGGACGCTCAACTCTGATTCTTAACATCTATAGGCACACAGCCAAGCTGCTCCTATAGCTCTGTGTGGGTGGCTCCCTGATAAATGCTGGTGACTTCTTGATGAATCGCGGCTGGCTTTTTCATACATTTCAGTGTTACTAAACATCACATGGAAACATTAACAGAAGATTTGGTTGAATTCAAAAGTCCTGCGATTCTACCTGCTTAACTACCCTCTGCTCTCCAGATTTATCACTGTAGCAATCTGTCAAATTGGAAATTCCTAAGACCTAAAAGGAAAAGAAGTAAAAACAGGCCATTCAGAGACACACATTAACCTAATGACGAACTTGCAGTTAAAATGCATCGTGTCTCCATCTGATGGGTCTTGGTACGGAGCAGGAATCTGACTACAGATGAATTCAAAACAAGGTGGCCGGGGTTGCCTAAGGTCCTCGGTCTGGACGTGGCATTCCTTCCCTTTACTTTTCTTTCTTCCCTTTTCTCCAGATGGACTTGGGCATTCCGGCAATGACCAAGTGCTGCAACCAGCTGGACATTTGCTACGACACATGCGGTGCCAACAAGTATCGCTGCGATGCAAAATTCCGCTGGTGCCTCCACTCCATCTGCTCTGACCTTAAGCGAAGTCTGGGTTTTGTCTCCAAAGTGGAAGGTAGGCATCTTGGCGGCATTTATTTTACTTCCTACTCAGCAAGCTTTGTTGGGTTGTTTGTTTGGAGTTGGAGGCGTTGTTCCTGATTACACATAGACCCCACTGGACTTTATAGAATGCTAACAGCAATCTAAGAAAGGGTTAAGGAATATTCTGGGCACTTCTTCACTAAAGTTCTGGCTGTCCTGCCCAGGAGCTGCTGGCGCCTCTCCTGATGGAAAAGTCCGCACCAAAACCTTCCCAGAGCAATAAAAAGACATCCTTTAAGAACGGAGGAAGAGTTGCCCAACTGGCTGTGCTGACCCCATCCCTGTTAAATACTTTTTCGTATTGGCAGTTCTTCTGCATAAAACTGCTTGGTTTGATTTAAGCCCCATTTTCCTTATTTTATTCCCAGTAAGGGCGGGACATTTAGAGACTATCTTTTTTTTTTTGCGTGTATAAACGTCTATGAGAATGATTACTTTTAAACACGGCTTATTTCCCCAGTTTCGACCAATTTATCTTGGGAAGTTTTCGTCACTTATAGCCTCTGCAGTCAGACATGACATCTAGCTATTAGCACCGCACTGTTGTAGATGGCGAAGGTTACATCCAGGCTTGTGAAGGGTTGGACTCATGCCACAGGAAGTTCACAATAGGAGTCTTGGATCCTGTTCAGAGATCAATGTCTAGAGGGCAATCTTAAATTGAATGTGGAAAGACGTGAACATATGAATAATTGAAAGGGAGTATCAGTATCTGGATTTATAAAGGGCGAAAAAACTACCTCCTGCTAATCTAGGGTTAGGTGAAGTTACTTCCTCCAAGCAATGCCCTATTGACTTTGTCTCCTAAGTATCTCTGTGATAGACCCACTTGCCTGGTCACTGCAAATTAACCCAATCTAAGGGTCCTAGTTAATGTATTTTCCTTATCAGAACCACATGCATATTTTACAATCACAAGCTTGGCTGTCAATGCGGCTGGGTCAGCCTTCCTGGTGTGGTAGTTCTGATGTCCTCGCCCTCATGAGGAGGTCAGATGTAATACAATTACCGCTATACATGAGGAGATTGGATATAATACAATTACCGCTATACATGAGGAGATTGGATATAATACAATTACCGCTATACGGAGAGCTGCTATGGGTAACCGATCAGTCCACAGTGAATTTTCTGAGGTGTGTGGCCTGCTTCAAATATATACAGATGTTCTGGAAAAGTTCTCTAGCATTTTGCTCATTCTGGATCCTGTATCTATCTCTTGACATCTTATCTCTGGGTTCTTGAGACTTGAGCCAGCAACCTACCCTTTGACCTGCTGATCTTGTATTTGTCAGTCCCTGTAGTTACCTGAGTCAGAGAAGCCCCAGCCTGATGTCTGACCCATAGTCTAGAGACTTGCCAGCCTCTGTATCCATACGAGCCATTTCCTTGTGATAAATATACACATATACACATATATAAGCTACGTTGGCTTTGCTTCTCTATAAAGGCTACCCTACAATATTTGACACCAGGATTGGTTCTAGAGAAACAAAATTGTAAAGTTGAGATTTTGAAATTGGGTCTTAATTCTACCTAGTCCTTTCTTAACAAGTTTTCGTTTTATTGGCATATACTTCATGTATCATGCGTTATACAAGCACATCGAGAAGATCTGTACAATTATTAGCACAATCAACTTCAGAAGGCTTTCTCCTCCTACTCATTGTTAGTTCCCCATTTCCCTCACCCTTCTCTGACATGCCTCTAGATAATTATTAATCCAGTTACTCTACATATGTATTTACCTCTCTTGGATTTCATCTACATAAACCCATACAAAACACACACAGGAAGCAGACCAAAAGATGAAAATCAACAACAGTGATTAGAGAAAACATTAAAAACACTAAATTGAAAAGAAAACAAACATTAAAAACTGAAGCAACTTTAAAATGGGTCAAAGGGGACATCAAATGACAAGGCATTACATTTTAACCTAACTACATCGGCATCCTTGACTTTGTAAAGCTCCCTCTCTGACAGCAAAGCCATTCACCTCCATGGACTGTGGTCAGAGGGGAGTCCAGAGACTGAATCCATGGGGGGCTGCTGCAGATGGATTTGGGGTTTCCCCTGCAAAGTGAAGGTCTGGTACATTCGGATTTGGATTTTATTATGTACAATTCAGGCTGATGTGTTTCTTCCATGTGGACATCTAAGCCTTGCTTAGATGACTGATTGTCTTCAGACAAGCCTTTAAGACCCCAGGTCCTATTCTTTCGGATAGCTGGGCACCATCTGGTTTCTTTCTTTTTCAAAAATCATTTTATGGAGAGCTCTTACAATGCTTCTTACAATCCATCCATCAGTTGTTATCAGGCATATTTGTACATATGTTGCTACCATTCTTTTCTAGACAGGTACTTTCTATTGAGACCTTGGTATCAACTCCTCTTTTCCCCGCTCCCTTCCACCCTTGTGACCCCTTGATAGATTATAAAATATTATTATTTTCATATCTCACACTGATCACTATCTCCCTTCCCCCATGGTTTCTGTTGTTCTTTCTCCTGGAGGGGTGTGTGTGGTTGTGTGTTGATCAGCACCCCCTTCTTCGCCTCTTCCCCGCCCTTCACCCCTTCCCATCTGGTGTCTCTCTTCCCATTCCTGCTCCTGGGTCTCCTGTGTTCCGACCTCTTATCTCTTATCTACAGATGTGCACATGCTCCGGTCTAGTCTGAAGTGAGAGCCATCACTGGGGTCATGGTGGTGGAGGGGAGGAAGCCTCAAGGGACCAGGAATATTGTGTCTTTCATCGGTGCTTCACTGCTCCCTGGTTGACTCATCTCTTAACTGTGACCCCTCTGTGGGGGGATGTTCCATTGTCTACAAATGGGCTTTGGGTCTCTGCTCCGGTCCCCCTCGTTCTTAACCATATCATTTTGCTTGTTGGATTGCTGTTACCCGGTCCCGCACTGTCTGGTTTCTTCTCCACACTTTGCTCTAGCATCCATATGCTCAGTGCCTCTTCATGAGGGCGAACACCGATCACCACAAGGACACAAGAACAAACTCTTCTTAGGTTGATGTTACAGTTAAGTGGGAGAGCAAAAGTCATCAATCTCTCTATGGCTTGTATATGTCGCTAGCTCACTTTAGGGAATTACAGTGAGGACATTGGTGGGGAAGAAGCAAAGGGATCCCAAAGCTTGGGATGGGGACGTATGGGCAGACGTTCAGGAAGATGGGGGTACCGGGCCCCCAATTCCATTGAATCACTCCTACCTGCAGTACTCCCTCACCCCCATCTGAAGAGACAACTTCATTTTTGCTTGCTAACCCATTATCAGTAAAACCCTTGTCTCTCCTACCCTCGTTTGGTGAGCTTACCTGTTTCAGCTGAAGTGATTCCTGGGACATTTTTGTGGGCATCACTCAAGGCAGATACCTCACCAGACATTGCTGAATGTTCCTAGGACACACCCCCATGACCCATTTTTACTTCTAGACCCATACCTAGACCTAACAGTTACAAAAAGTGATCGTGGGCTCAAGTGGGAAGAGAATGAATCGAAAATTATGATGGCCGCATATGTGCAAATGTGCTTGACACACTGGATGAATGTATTGATGGTGATAAGAGCTGTAAGAGCCCCCAATAAAAGCATGGGGGGAAAAAATAAAAGAAAATGAAAAAAAAAAAAAAAGGAGTTCCAAAAAGTGAAACACAAACTGTGGCCAGGAAGAGGTATGCTACATTCCGAAATAACTGCCCGCTTTTCTAATATGTATGAATAGAAAATTACCTTAAGGGTGTGGGACAATTGTGCAAGGAATAAAAACTTAAAGTTAGTTTATGTTCTGAGCTTATTGATATGGTCCCACTAAGCACCAGGCATCCTGAGCTGTCCGCTGGGTGTTGTCTGACCCACAGCCTCATCCAGTTGGATGAGCACGCAGTTCTCCATTATTAAATGGAAGTGATTTATACAAACTCAGGCCTGAGCTGGCCCTGAAGTTACCAGTAAGCTGCATAAAATAGTGGCCCAGATGTCCACGATCTCTACTTTCATCACATTATCTCCCGGCTCCCAGTCTGCACCTATGGCTTTATGATCAATTGACTGAGAAAGAGAAAACTCACGCCTGGTTTATAGTTGTTTCTGCACAACATGCAGGCGGTACTCAAAAATGGGCAGCAGCCCTGCAGTCCTGTCCTACGGCCTCCCTGTAGGACAATGGTGAAGGGAAAGCTTCCCAATGAGCAGAATTTCAAGCAGTGAATCTAATTGGTCATTTTTCTTAGAAGAAGGAATGGCTAGATGTACCAATATATACTGCTTCATGGACTGTGACCAGCAGTTTAGTTGGATGGTCATACACTTGGGAAGGGACGTGATTGGGAACTAGGTGATAAGGAGGTGTGGGGAAGATGTATGTGGATAGACTTTTCAGAATGGGCAAAAAGAGTGGAGATAGTTGTGTCTCGTGTGAATGTTTGCCAAAGGGTGGCCTGAGCAGAGGAGCATTTTAATAATCAAGTGGATAGGATGACATGTTCTGTGGAAACCAGTCTGCCCTCTTTACCTAGCCACTCCTGGTGAGCAAAGTGGCCATGGTGGCAGGCACAGAAGTTAGGCAGGGCCACAGCAACCTGGATTTCAACTCACCAAGGCCATCTTTGCCACAGTCACTGCTGAGGGCCAGTCTGCCGGCAGCAGAGACTAACTTTGAGTCCCTGATGTGTGACCATTGCTTGTGGTTATTAGCTTGGTGGCAGGTTGACTACACTGAATCACTTCCATCATGGGAAACAACAGCATTTGTCTGGACTGGAATAGACACATACTCTGGGTATGGAGTTGCCGTGCTTGCATGTCCAGGACTACCACCTGTGGACGTACAGACTGCCTTGTCCACTGTCATGGTCTCCTACACAAACATCACCTTGGTTCAAAGGACTCGCTTTAGAGCAAATGAGATTCCGTGGTATGGGGTTCAGTGGTCTCACCATGTTCTCAGTACCCAGAGGCAGCTGGCTTGCTCGAACACTGGAATGATCTTCTAAAGATATAATTACAGTGCTATTTGGGTGACAATACCATGCAGGGTTTGGGCAATGTTCTCCAGGAAACTGTATTTGCTCTGAACCAGAATGGAAGGAATAGCACTGTTTCTCCAATAGCCAGAACTTGTGAGCCAGTTAATCAAGAGGTGGAAATGTGAGTGGCACCATTCTTTCTTATCCTAGTGAGCCACGCACAGCATCTTTGCTTCTTCGGTGTCTTGGATCAGGTTTCTTATAGAAGTGGACCAATGTAGTTTCTATATGTGTAGATAGAGCTTTATTTCAAGAAATGGCTCCTGCAGTTGTAGAGGCTGGCAAATTCCAAGTTCAGGGGTCAGATGTCAGGCTAAAAGCTTCTACCACCTCATGTAGCTGCAGAGATCGATGGCCCACGGTTGGTGGGTTAGATCCAGGCTACTGGCTGAGGGGACAGGTGGATGTAAGATGGCAAGCAGCTGGCACACTGTGTGCAGAGGGTACGACTTCCAATATCAGCAGGCTGGATGTATGGATTGGGATAAGAGTTGTATGAGCCCCCAATAAAATGATTTAGAAAAAAATATATATGCCTGATATAATTGATGTATGGATTGTCATAAGAGATGTAAGAGCCCCCAATAAAATGATCTTTTAATTTAAAAAATGCGAAAAAACCCAAAAAACAAAAACAGAGCACTTCCAACCCCTGCCTTCACATTCTTCCATAGGGTCCTCTTTCTTCGCAATGAAATCCAAATGCTTTTGTAAGGCGCGCATCGGCCTTCCTGATTTGGTCTTGGCCGATTGCTCCAGCATCATCTCGGCGACTCCAGATCCCTCTCCTGACTCCTGTTATCCCAAACTCCTTGGGTTGATTGTGCATGCCTTTCTGCCCAGGTACTCCTTCTTGAAACACCCTCAGCATTCTTTCGCTCTCATTGAAAACAGAGTAATTGAGATACAATTTGCC